TGCTCTGCACAGGGGAAGGACGGGGCAGGAGTGGTCGGCTGAGCCTTTGAACAGAGGGTTGCGCTAGAACTGGTTTCTGCTCCTGTTTCTCTGTGATCTAGCACTGGACATTTGGGTCAGGACAAGGAACCGGAACAGAGGAGCATGGGATCCATTCCCCTTCCTTCAGCACAATCAATCAATCAATCAATAAACCTTTAATGGCATATACAACATTAAAATCAGAGACAGAAAATGACACAATCAACTAAGAATCTAAGTTAATTATAAAATCATAAAACGGAGTTTCCCAAGTTTTTCACTCTTATCACGTCAACTAAAAAATTGGCCACTGCCACAGTAATTTCTGCTGTTATATCGTTCAATAGAAATTGGCATTTTATTTCATTGGAAAGGTGATGTTTACCATGCAACCAAGTGTGTTTAACCATTTTTTCCCTAGCAGATACATGCCACGAACAGTCTAACAATATGTGATCAATTGAATCAAGAGAGTTAGAACCGCAGTAACATCTCCGTTCATGCTTAGGAATATTTTGAAACCTACCATACAGTAGTTTTGATGGAAAGGCATTTACTCGAGCAAGAGAGAACGCTCTTCGATGGCTAGGGCTATCAAGGTTATACAAATACCAGTGATCAGGCAAACAACCTGCCAAAATGATTTGACCGCTGCATGATTAATTTAGTAAACACCGTGGATTAATTTTCCTGGTCTCTGAGTTTAAGATGTTGATCTCCCAGGTTTTAGTCCAACATTCTAACCACTGCCCCTCACTACTCCACTAGCTCACAGCAGGGGCTTCTCCCAGTCGCTTTCAGCAGCCACTGTCTCTTTATCACAAGGCAACACCAGACAGGAGTCCAAAACCGAAGCGCCACAGGGCAGCCAAAAAACCCAGCTGGAGCCAAATAAGATGATAACCATTCAGGCCTTGCCCTGGATAGCCCAGGCAAGCCTGACCTCATCAGATCTTGGAAGCTACGCAGGGACGACCCCGGGCAAGTACTTGGAAGGGCAACCTCCAAGGAATACCAGGGCCGGGATGCAGAGGCAGGCAATAGCAAGCCACTTCTCTGAAAAATGTTCTAGCCCCACTAGGGGTTGCCAGAAGTCACTATGACTTCCAGGCCCAAAAGCACATACACACACACAATACCTAACCTCCCCAAAAAAGATTACAGCCATTCAAGAGGAGCAAAGTGAGAAGGGATGAACCAGAAGAAGAAGAGATTGGATTTATACCCCACCCATCACTACCCGAAGGAGTCTCAAAGCAGCTTACAATCTCCTTTCTTTTCCCCTCCCCACAACAGACACCCTGTGAGCAGTGTTCTCTCTAAGCTGAGTTAACGTGAGCGAGCTCAGTTTTTTAGCCTCCGGCTCAGACATTTTTGTCTTAGCTCAGGAAGGATGGCCTCAGAGCAAACTAATTTATGCAGTAGCCGAATTGCTTGCTCACAACTTTAATGCCAATAGCTCACAAGGTAGAATTTTTGCTCATAAGACTCCACAGCTTAGAGGGAGCATTGCCTGTGAGGTAGGTGGGGCTGAGAGAGCTCTTTTGAGAACTGCCCTTGAGAGAACAGTTCTGAAGGAACTTGTGACTGACCCAAGGTCACGCCAGCAGCTGCATGTGGAGGCGTGGGGAATCAAACCTAGTTCTCCCAGACTAGAGTCCGCGC